GTCATAATTCTATATCAATTGGGGGGGGGGGGGGAATTGATTTCAATGCGTCGCTCCATGCTCTATGATGAGTGTATCCAGCAGGTGTAGCGGGCCAAAATTAAACGTTGTGGCAGAAATGACCCAAAAAAAAAAGGAAAAAATGTGTAGTCTCAAAAAAACCGCTCCATCCTATCTACTGCTCAACGTGGTGTCCGGGAGTTTCAGACCGCTTTTTTATAATACTCCCGCAAAACGGGCGTCAAACCAGGAAAATTTGCGGTAGGCCCTATTCGGCTCAGCGAATCAACGCCAACTTGGCCGTTTGAACCGCACCGCCGGCGTGCAGCACGGCCCAATAGACCCCCGAAGCCGCCTCTACGCCCGCAGCCGTGCGGCCATCCCAGCGCACGCGGTGCGCGCCAGCATCCACCCAGCCATCGGCCAACACGCGAACCTGCTGGCCCATCAAGATTATAGACGGCAAGCCGCACAGGACCGGCCTCGGCCAGAGAGCAAAGGGAATGGTCACTTCGGCGTTGAACGGCGTGGGAAAGGGATCGCCCAAGCCATCCGGCAACTTGGATAGAAGCCGCGCCCCTGCGGCGAGCTTGGCGCACTAAACGGCTTCCACAACGCCACGTCCTTCAACTGCCAGCGGACGAAGGATGCAGAGCGGTCTTGGTTGATGATATTGCGGAACTCGATGACGTTTTGACCAGACTGGAGGTATGTTTCATCGAGGACGAGATACCAAGTCCGCCAGTCCTCCCCGGCCACGAGCGCTGCATACCTCTGTTCGTTGAGGAAAATGACGACCTCGTTATCGCTTATTTCCTTAGTCGAAAATTGGCATAGAACACCGCGATTGATCCCCTCAAAACCGAATTTGACGTTTTTGGGATTTTTGCTAACCACGGGTGGGCTGTAACCGAAAATTCCACTGCTCGGCAGCGGCTCTAACCATTCGCTGCCAATCTCAACGTACGCGGCCCCGGTGGCCCCATCGGCGGTAAAAACCTGCACCGCGCCACTGCTGGCCTCGGACGGAACCCGGACGACGATGATGCCGCTGGACCAGAGTGCATAATCAGCCGCCGCCGCTTGCACATTGGGGTTAAACAAAACGTACCCCGTGCCGCGCTCCTGGCCAAAGTTGCCGCCGGTCAACTTCAGGTACTCGCCAGCCTGTACTTGCGGTGGCGAAAGTTGCGCGAGGTACGGGCTAGCGATTTCCATGCGGACGGCATTGCTGGTGCCTTCAAGCGTCGCAACGGTCACGTCGCCCGAGGGCACATTGAGTGGAACGCGGAACCGTATCGTCTGATCCGACCAAGACTCAAACGAAGACACCGCGACCGAATCAATCCACACGGAACTACTGTCCCGCGCGAGGCCGAAATTGTCCCCGGCAATTTGGATGAGATCGTCGGTCTTGGCCCCCGCATCCATGCGCGTGTGATTGGTAATCGCCTCAATGTAAGGCGACGTGACGACTACCTGCGCACTGTCGCTGCCGCCGCCGGTTATCACCTGCACCTTGCCGGTGCGTGCGCCGGTCGGCACGCGCACTTGGATCTGCACGTCGCTCCAAGCGAGATAGTCGGAATCGCTCGGTTCCTTTCCCGCAAAAAAAACCACTTTGCTCGTCCCTTTGGTGCCGCCGAAACCCTGGCCGACGATGGTAACGGTTTGGCGGTATTGAAGCACGGGCAGGCGAGACGCTCGTAATTTGCGGCGCTGAAACCGACAACACGAGTTTGCCGTATCCCGTGCTGTCGTCCTTGCCCGGTGCCCCAAATCGACGGTGGCCTCGACGAGGGCATTCCACAGATCGTCGCGCGAGAGCGAAGGATTGGCCGATTTGAGCAGAGCAGCTGCACCGGCTACGTGAGGAGCCGCAGCCGAGGTCCCCCCAAACAACTTATCTGCACCGTAAGAAGCCGTTGTCACGCCCGAAGGCGCGACGAGGTCGGGCTTGATGCGGCCATCGGCGGTGGGGCCGCGCGAGCTATAGCTTGCCAGTATGCCCAAATCCCATTGGTCGTGGTGGATCGCCCCAACGCTCAGCGCACCGCGAGCGTCCGACGGAATCCCCAAGCTGCTAGCCGGGACCGGATATTCGATGTCGTGGTGCCAAGACCACACTCGCAGCTTTCTTGGGCTCTGCCTCGCCGACGCGGACGACGGAAACGCCATACGTGCCCTCTTGCACGGCAAAGTATTCTATAAACTCCACAGGAGCGCCGCCGTCCCCCTGAACATCTGTGCTTTTGGCGACTTCCTTGATGTTGCCGAATGCGTCTTGATGGTAGAGATAGAGGTCGTAGTCCGCCGTGGTGGTGGGCCAATCGTCCCAAGTCAGCGTCACTCTTACGAAGTCACCGATCTCGGCGACAAAATTCACTGCGTCGTCGCCAGCGGCAAAATTGTGCCGATCGTCGGCGTCGCTATCGTGCCAAAAACCCGCGTAGTGCTTGTGGGCGTAGTTGCCGACTGCGTTGACCCAGAGAATGCCGTTGTCGGCCGCGTCATTTACGATGTCGCAGATGATCCCGCGCCCGTCCCCAAAGCCCTCGTTCACCCAAGTCGCCGAGTAGTTTACGATGGCGACTCCGTTTTGTATGCAGCGGTCTTTGGCATTCTCCATATCCACTATATCCTCGACCTTGTACAGATAGAGTTCAGCTTCCGGGGCCACGTCGTGGATGATCTCGGCACACGCCGTGCCGTGGGCGTCCGTACCAGCGTATATCCCCGCGCCCGTATAGTCGCGGTGCCACCAACGCGACGGCATGTCTTCCTTTAATTTATCGGCCCCCTTAAATCCGCCGTCGATAATCGCCACCTTGACCCCTTGGCCCTTCGCCCCAGCGGCGTGATGTTCGAGAGCGCGGATGCGAGCTAAGCCCTCGCTAAGGGTCTGTTGCGCGTGCGGACGGTACGGCCTGCGGACAAAGGCCACGCTCGGCAACTCAGATACCGCCCGCAGTGATGCGGTCGGCACCGACACGCGCATCAGGCTCTTGGACCGAGCCAAGATTTCGACGCCGAGGTCGGCAAAAGACGCAGTGTCAATAGTGGCCGCCACTCCCCCCGGCAGGGACCAAAATGACGACCACATCTGAGCCGTCTGCGGCACGGGTCGGCTTGGCCGCCGAGGGCGCGGCCAGTTCCCACAGCGCACTTTCCATCTTGGGAGGACCAGCGGGTTTGACCGGAGCGGAACCTAGGTCTTGTCCCCACAGAGGTACAGCAAAAAAGAGGAAGAAAAAAATATGGCGCACGACGATCAGGGTTGGCGAGCCTTGTACGATTCGTGTGCGCCCTGCGCCCCTTGCTCTTTGGTGCGCGACAAAAGCGCCGACCGCTCTTTGTCTTCAAGGGGAGTGAAGCTGCGAGCAACGGCGACATTCTGCCGCAGCTTTTCCAGCGAATCCATCCCGGAGCACACGGTAGTCACCGGCAGGCTCATGGCGTAGCGCAAGCATTCTGCCGCCGTCGCCGCACCCGTTGCGAGGATCGCTCCAGGCGAGCCCGCCAAGGTCTTCATGGCGATGACCCCGATGTTTTTTTCTACTGCGACCGGCAGCACCTGCTCGACAAAGCTGAGGTAGTGCGGGTCGAACACGTTGATCGGCATTTGCGTGGCGTCCCAAGCAAAGCCGCGCTCGATCATCTCCACGTGCAGAGCGGGCAAGGTATGGCCGGTGAAGCCGATGTAGCGGATCTTGCCCTCCTCCTTGGCTTTAAGCGCGGCCTCTAGCAGGCCCTGCTCGTAAATCCGCTCAGGGTCGTCGGGCTGTCTGATACTGTGAAACTGCCAGAGGTCGATCACGTCGGTTTGCAGCCGGCGCAAGCTCTCTTCGAGGTGGGCAATCGCCCTCTTGGGGTGGCGGCTCGTGTCCTTGGTCATTAGAAATACGCGGTCGCGATGGCCGCCGCTCAACGCCTTGCCCATGCGTATCTCACTCTCGCCGTCGGAGTAGCCCCAAGCATTGTCGAAGAAGTTGATCCCCTCGTCGATGGCCGCGTGCATCAAGGCGATGGCCGCCTTTTCTCCATGTTGCCGTAGTGGGCTATGTGCGCGCCGCCCAAGCCGAGCAGGGAAACGGCTTCGCCGGTGCGGCCCAAAATTCGGCGGGGCATGTCGCTGTGGTTTGGAGCGGCGCTTATAGAAAGGCCGGCGGCCGCCGCGGTCGAGAGCTTGAGGAAGGTGCGGCGGGAATAGGGTCTATCGTCCATTGAGCATTTCCTCCAGTAAATTATCTCCGGTAATCAACTGCACCGCCGTCGCCAGCAACATCCCATACACCACTCGATTGAACCACACGTCGCTAAACCGCTGATTCAAAAACACGCCCAATTTCACCCCGGCGTATGCCAGCGGGGCCAGCAGCAAAGTGGTCTTAAAAATGTCGGCGTGAAAAAGCCCCAAGCCCCAATAGGGCGGCAGTTTGAGCAAGTTGAGCGCGGCGAAGAAGATGACCGTGGTGCCGACGAAGACGTGGCGCGATAGCTGCTGCGGCAGCAGGTAGATGACCACCGGCGGTGCCCCGGCGTGGGCAATTGTCGAGGTAAAGCCCGAGCCGCTCCCATCACCACGCCGGCGAGTGGCCCCGGACGCTGCTTCCGCACGGCTCCGACAATCGCCGCCCGCCCGAACTGGAATGCGACAAACAGCAAGGCCAAGCAGCCCAAGCCCACCTCTAGGACGCGCTCGTGCTGACTGAAGTAGCCGAAAAAAAAAGCCCCAGCGCCGATTCCCAAGACAGAACCGGGCAGGAGCCGTTGGACGCTCGTTTTGTCAAAGGTGCGGCGGTAGTGCCGGACGGCGAACACATCACAGGCAATCAACAGCGGCAACAACAGGGCCACCGCGTCCGCCACCGAAACCGTCAGCGCCAAAAGCGGGGTGGCCAAAATCCCGATGCCGCCGCCAAAGCCGGCCTTGGCCACCCCCATCAATAACACTGCCCCCACCGCGCAGACCCAGAAGGCGGGCGGGTAGGTCGGCAGCACTACTCGCCTTCTACTTGAGTTACTTCGATATCGAGCTCTTCGCGTTTGCGCACGTGATCGACTTGGCCGTCCTTGATCCACACCACGCGGTCGGAAACGCTGAGCATCTTGTGGTCATGGGTCGCCGAGATGACCGTCACACCGGAATTCTCGTTCATCTCTTTGAGCAATTCGATGATTTCGGTGCCCGTGCGCAGGTCCAGATTCCCCGTCGGCTCGTCGGCGAGGACGACGGCTGGGTCGTTGGCCAAGGCGCGAGCGACGGCCACGCGCTGCTGCTGGCCACCCGAAAGCTCGTAGGGCTTGTGCGAGTACCGCTCGCCAAGGCCCACCTTGCCCAATAACTCCATGCCCTTGTCGCGGGCCTCGTCGCTGGTCAGGCCAGCGAAGACCATCGGCAAGGTGACGTTTTCGAGCGCGGTCATCACCGGGATCAAGTTGAACGACTGGAAGATGTAGCCGATCTTGCGGCAGCGCAGCCAAGCCAACTCATACGCGTCGAGCTGGGCGACGTCCACTTCGTCGATGTACACCTTGCCCTCCGTGGGCTTGTCGAGGCCGCCGACCATGTTGAAGAAAGTGCTCTTGCCCGAGCCCGAAGGCCCCATGATCGACAGGTACTCGCCGGTGTAGATCTCCATGTCCACCCCGCGCAGGGCGTGAACCTCAATCTCGCCCATTAAGTAAATTTTCTTTACCTGCTGAGTCCGTACTACCGTGCGTTTTTCCGCTTCTTGGACAGCGACCTCGCCCGGGGCGGTTGCGGTCATTTCAGATCTCCTCTAAGGAATCAAGTGTCGGAACGCATGGCCTCGACCGGCTCCATCTTGGCTGCGCGATACGCCGGCAACATGGCGCCGACTAGCGAAAGCAGGGTCCCTACCACCAAGGCGTAACCGGCCGATTCGACGATGCCGCCCAGCGGGAAATAGTCCAGCGCGTAGCCGCCGTAATGAAGCAGCGCCAACCCCAGCGTCAGCGCGAAGCCGATGATGATCCCGCCGAAGTTCCCGCCAACCCCTGAAAGGTCGATTCGAGGAGGAAGAGCTTGACGATAAAGGAGTCCAAGGCCCCGAGGCACTTCATGGTGCCGATCTCGCGGAAGCGCTCGGTCACCGACATCAACATGGCGTTGGCAATGCCGACGACGCAGACCAAGAGCGAGAGGCTGATGAGCCAAGTCTGCTTGGATCGCTCTTCCTGCATGCGGCTCATGGCCTCTGCGGAAGCGTCACCGGCCTCGGTGACGCCGGTCTCAATGCCGTTTTTTTGCAACAGCAAGTTGATCTCGCTTTTGTCCGCGCTCCGCAGACTACTGACGATTTCGTTGCTGCTCCACACCGACATTAAAAAGGCGATGGCCAGAACCACGCCGCTGGTGGTGATCAGCGAGCGGCCAAAGCGAATTTTCAGGCTGCGAAAACTAATTTCCACTGCTCTGCTCATCGGCAGCACGATCTCCCGACCGCCTGCCAAACGCATCTCAGACATAGTTATTCTCCCAGCGAATGCTCGCGTTCACAATACGTAAATAAAGGTAACAAATCAACACCTCTCGACTCAACTGCCCGCCCTAATCTCCACGAGGGGCAAAGGTGCGGAGTCGTATGCGCCGCGATCGGCAACCATCTCGGCAAACGCGATCGGCACCATGCTAACGCGCAAATCCCGCGCGCCCCCGCGACCGCACTGGCTGCTCCAAAAACGACGCCATAGCGCTCGGGGTGAACACGAGGTGATCGATGGCAAAGCCGTTTACCAAGCCCTCCAACTCGCCAACGTGACCGACCACCGGGCGACCGGCCAGTGGGCGATCGCGCTGCTCGGGAACCTCTCCCACCACGCCGATCAGATTGCAGTGGGCCATACCCGCCCGCTCTAGTTGCGCGACGAAATCCACTGCGGCCGCATCGGTTCCCACCAGCAGGGTGCGCAACCGGCCCTCGCGGCCGCGCTGGTGCAGAAACCAACGCGCGACCAAGCGCCAACCGGCGATTAACACCAAGTTGCAAAACCAAGCCGCGACCACGGCCAGCCGCGAGAAGTTGTATGCCTTAAAGAAGAAGACCAGCATCACGATGCAGGCAAACCCCAGCGTCACACCCACCACCGACCACGCCACTGAGTAGCGGCGGCGGTCGTACAGGCCCGACGCGTAAAACGCCAACAGCCAGACCAAGGTCGAAGCACCGTACACAGCAGCCCATTGCAAATCCGAGTACGGAGGCGGCACCAGCCAGCGCGTCGGCTGGACGTCGAAGCCGAAGAGGTTGCCGACCTGCTCAACGCGGTAGATGAAGGACGCCAACTCTTGGTGGTAGCGCACCGCTAACCCCAGCTTCAGGCCGCAGAGCACCAAGCCGGCGTCGATCAAGGGCATGGCCAAGGCGCGGCCGGCCCGGGCGAGGAAGCGGAACGTCCCGTGCAGGGCAATGCCCACCTGCAAGAGCCACAGCGGGAAGAAGCGAAAGCGCCGCACCATGTGCTTGTTGACAAAAATCGACATGGCGCGGCTCTTGCGATAGAGAATTTTCAGGGGCGTCCCCCGGCCGCTCTCGCCGCGGAAGTGAATGATCGCGGTCGTCGGCACGTAGTAGATCTTCCAGCCGGCTTGGTGGAAGCGATAGCACCAGTCGATGTCCTCGCCATACATGAAGTAGTCCTCGTCGAGTAGGCCGACTTGGTCCATGGCCGACTTTCTCACCATCATGCAGGAACCAGACAGCACCTCGACCTCGGCCGTTTGCTCGGGGTCGAGATACGTCATGTGGTAGTGGGCGATGAGCGGGTGCTTGGGAAAGAGGCGGCTCAAGCCCGACATCTTGCAGAAGGCAGCCAATGGCGTGGGGAAAGCCGCGGCGGCTGTCGAGCTGCAAGGTGCCATCCGGGTCGAGGATTTGCACCCACAGGCTCCGGCTTCCGGGTGCGCGTCCAAAAACTCTACCATCGTGCGCAGCGCGTCTCGGCGCACGATGGTGTCGGTGTTGATCAGCAGCGCGTATTCTCCGGTCACCTGCCGCAGGGCCACGTTGTTGCCGGCCGAAAAACCCACATTGGCTGCGTTGCAAATGAGCTTCACTTGCGGGAACTCCTCGGCCACCATGTCGGCACTGCCGTCTGCCGAGGCATTGTCAACGACGAAGATCTCCACTTCTAGGCCTTCGGCTGCTGCGAGTACCGAACTCAGGGCCTGTCGGGTCAGGTCGCGGGTATTGTAGCTGAGGAAGACGACGCTCAGTCGCACGATCTAGCACCTCGCAGGCGGCCCATGAGCTTGTAGCCGCTGAAGTAGAGGATCTGTTTGGCAAAGAGCAAATACTCGCGCAGGTCCAACTTGCTGGAGCTGAACTGGCGGTTGCGGAAGACGAAAGGCACGGACCGATGCTGCTGATAGCGGCCCTTGACCAAAATTTCGAGCAAAATTTTGTAGCCCGAGGACGTGAGCACTAAGTCCTGTATCACTTGGCGGCGCAGACAGAAATAACCCGACAGCGGGTCCTCGACCCCGGTTAGCAGGCGAGCCGCGCCCACGCCGGCTCGGGAGATCAGCTTGCGGTGCCAAGCCCACCGTTCGACTCGGCTGGTCGCCCCAAAGCGGCTGCCCATGGCAATATCGCATTCGCGCAGACTGCGGACGAGCTCGGGCAAAATCGCCGGGTCGTGGCTCAAGTCGGCGTCCATCACTCCGAGGTTCGGCCGTGTCGACTGCGCGAAACCCGCCATCACCGCCGACCCCAAGCCGAGCTTACCCGCCCGATGGACCACCTGGACGGGATAGCGGGCCTTCAGCGACTCGGCCACCTCGCCGGTGCCGTCGGGCGAGTTGTCATCTACCACGATGAGTTCCAAGTCGATATCCGGCTGTTGGCCGACGACTGCGAAGATTTCTTCAACCAAGAGCGGCAAACTTTCCCGCTCGTTATACGTGGGCGTCACCAGCGAAATCTGCACGGGGTCCATGAGGATGCGCTAGCGGGCGAATTGGGGAAAGTCGCGGCGAAAATGCGAATCCGCAGCGAGGTGTTGCAGCCCCTCGGCAAAGCTCAGGGGCCGGCGACCGAGCGCAGCTTCCAGCGCGTCGGTGCGCAGACCAGAGCGCAGGGGGCGCTCGGCTAGCAGCCCGGCTGCACGGGTCGGCACGGGTTCGATCAACGCGCCGTCGATTCCAAAGAAACAGGCCAGTTCCCGCGCCATTTCCCAGCGCGTCATAAAGGTCGCGCCGCCTACGTGCAACAAGCCCTGGGCCTCTTGGCCGCACAGGGACACCAAGGCGCGGGCCAAATCGCGGATGTAGGTCGGGTTACCCCACTGGTCGGCAAAAACCCGTAGCGGCTGGCCGCCAGACAGCCCTCGCAGCACCCAAGTGAGGAAATTGGCCCCGGCCTGCGGGACATAGCCGTACAGCCACAGGGTCCGCACGACTAGTACGCGCTCCATTTTCTTTAATATGCCCTCGCTTTCGAGCTTGAGTTGGCCATAGCAAGACAGCGGATTGGTCGTATCCCCTTCGCGGTAGGGGCCGCGCTTGCCGTCGAAGACGTAATCCGTGGAAATATGGACCAAGCCAGCCCCGGCCGCGTCGCAAGCCACGGCCAAGTTCTCGGGAATATCGACGTTGGCTTGCCGCGCGGCCCGCGCGTCTTTTTCGCAGCCATCGACATCGGTCATGGCCGCAGCGTTGATCACCCAATCGGGAGCCAGTTCGGCGACGAGTGCGGTCACGGCCTGGCGATCGCCTAGATCGACTTGGCGATAGGGAATGTCCTCGGCAGCGGGCCGGCGACCGCAGCCCATCCACTCGGCTTCCCCTTCCAAGGAAAGCAGAGTACGACCCAAAAAGCCCGTGGCACCTGTCACCAAAATTCTCATAGCGGTGGGCCGTAGAGCAGCAAAGCCCGCGCCCACGAACTATGCGCTCGACCGGGCGCCTGCGCCAAGCGCGGCTCGCCAACCAAAGCGATCACTCGCTCGGCACGGCCCTGTCGCCCGTAGAGCTGGAGAGCGAGAGCCTTGCCGCGGTGCGGCAGTGGGCCGAGGGCCGCGGGGCGGTCGTACGATTGCTCCATAAAGTGCGCGACCTGCTCGGCGGCCGTGGCAAAGCGCACCTCCCCACTCCACTCGCCCAACTCCCATAGAGCCAATGCCGCCAAGGCTTGATCGACGAGCAGGCCAGCGCTGCCCTCAGCCTCTGAGGCACAGACGTGCTGCACCCGGCCGCGGTTGTCGATACAGCGGTTGATGAGCGCGTCCCCAGCTTGCAGGGCCACCTGGGCAGCGCGTTCGTCGCCTAGGGCAGCGGCCGCAGCGAGATAGGCTCGTATCAGGGCCGCTTGACGGTCGGCGTAAAGCGTGGGATCAGTCCACCAAGTGCCGGCCATGACTTGGCGGCCGCGGAACGCACCCTCGGCTGCGTCGAAGAGCGTGCCCTCGACAAAGCCGAGTAGTGCTCTAGCCGACTCGGCGTAGTGAGGCTGGTCGGCCTCTAGCAAGAGATGCAGCATGGCCGCCTGATCGAGGGCGTCCCGCTCGCTGGCGGGTGCGCTCCAATCCGGCGCGTACGAGTACGCGCGAAAACCACCGCTATCGCCGAGCGGCGAGGCGAGTACCGCGTCCAAGCTGGCCAAGGCCATCTGCCGCGCCGGCGCTGTGTCCCGCGCCTCGGCATAGACGAGCAGGAAGCGCAATACCGAAATCTCGAGAAACTTGGTCGGGCCGCCGAAGCCGCCGTGGGCCGAATCAAAGGCGGCCGCGCACGCACGGTAAACGTCCTCTATTGCAAAGGGCCTCTCAACCTCGGGACGGGCGGCGGCGCGCTGCACCTTGGCGACGAGCACCGCGCGCTTTTCCTCGTAGGCCATGCGCAACCGGCGCAGATAAGGCTCGACATTGGCTGGCGGAATATCCACGGCCCGCGCGAAAACCCGTCCGTCCGGCAGGGCCACCACTAGGGCCGGCCAACCGCCGCTGTCGTAGTGCCGAGCAATGTCCGGCCGCTTGAATGGATCGACCTGTACGCTGACAAATTTCTCGGCGACTAGTTGACGCAACGCCGGCGTTGGCGCGGGAAACAGGCCCTCGCATCCCGGGGCGGCCAAATACACCAATATGGGATTGTCTTCGCGTTGGGCGCGTGCGAACAACGACTCGTCCCAAGTGTTCCAAGGCATCTCGCCATCGGCCCACTGCCACTCGGCCAAGGCCGGCCGCGCGCTGCGGATCGCTTCTTGCGGTGGCTCCTCGGTGGCCGCGCACCCGGCCAACATTAGCAGCGCCAGCAGCTTGGCCTTAAATTGATACATCTCTTTTATATTCAATGGGTTCCGAACTATTCACAAAGGGCGTTTAATGTACGGTATGCCCTTGTGAGCGTCAAGCAGGTCCCAAGGGGGCGGCTTTTTGCACCGGATGGTTTGGCCTATGTTTTGTTTTTCACTAGAAGCCATCTAATGAGGAGCACTCCATGAATCCACTCGAAAAAGTCACCCTCGGCAGCAGCGGCCTGCGCGTCACCCGCCTCGGCTTGGGCTGCGCCTCTATCGGCGGCCTATACGGCGACATATCAGACGACCAAGCCGTCACCGTCGTGCACCGCGCCCTGTCTTTGGGGCTGAACCTCTTAGACACCGCACCGCTGTACGGGGCGGGCAAAAGCGAAATCCGTCTCGGGCAGGCCCTCGTGGGCGTGCCGCGCGACAGCTATGTGCTCGCCTCCAAAGTGGGACGCGTCTTGGTCCCCACCGAGCAAGACCAACAGGTGGGCGCGTTCGACGACCCGGCTCCGTACCAGCCCGTGTTCGACTTCAGCTACGACGGCGTCATGCGCTCGTTTGAAGACAGCCTCAAACGCCTAGGCGTAGATCGCATCGACATCCTCCACATTCACGACCCGGACAACCACTGGCAGGAAGCCATCGACGGTGCTTACCCCACGCTCGACAAGCTGCGCAGCGAGGGCGTCATCCAAGCCGTCAGTGCGGGCATGAACCAATGGGAAATGCTGGCCCGCTTTGCCCGCGAAGGCGATTTCGACTGCTTCCTCCTCGCCGGACGCTACAGCTTGCTCGACCAAGGCTCCCTCGACGAACTCCTGCCGCTGTGCGTAGAAAAGAACATCGGCATCATGGCCGGCGGCACGTACAACAGCGGCATCTTGGCCAAAGGCGCGCGCCCGGGCGCGACCTACAACTACCGAGAAGCGCCGCCCGAAATCGCCGCTAGGGCCAAGTCCCTAGAGGCCGTGGCCGCGCGCCACCAAGTCGATCTGCGGGCCGCGGCCTCGCAATTTGTCTTCGCCCATCCGGCCATCACCTGCATCATCCCCGGGACGCGGCAGCCCGAGCGCGTGCAAGAGAATTTCGACTTGCTCACTCGGGAGATTCCCCCGCCGTTTTGGGCTGAACTCCGCGACGAGGGCTTAGTCCGCGACGACGCCCCGCTGCCGTGAGCTTGTGCATTGCCGGCGGCGCGGGTTTTGTCGGCGCGAGCTTGGCGCGCCGCTACCGCCAGCACTATCCCAACCGGCGCATCGTCGCCTTCGACAACCTCAGCCGGCGCGGGTCCGAGCTGAACTTGGCCGACTTCAGGGCGCGCAACATAGAATTCATCCACGGCGACGTGCGCTTTCCCCGCGACTTGGAATCGCTGACAGGCACCTTCGACCTGCTCATCGACGCGGCGGCCGAGCCTTCAGTCCACGCGGCTACCAACGCGATCGACACCAACCTCAAGGGCACTCTCAACTGCTTGGAGTGGGCGCGCCGGCGCGCTGGTGCTTTGCTCTTCCTCTCCACCTCGCGGGTCTATTCGCTGCCCGGGCTGCGGAGTTTGCCCCTGCGCGAGGAGGAGACGCGCTTTAGCCTCAACCCAAAGACCCTCAGCCAGCGGGACTGTCGGCCGCGGGCATCGGCGAGTCGTTTGCCACCTCCGGTCACCGCTCGCTGTATGGCGCGACCAAATTGGCTTCCGAACTCTTCGTCCAAGAGTACTGCGCTGCCTATGGCCTGAATACCCTGATCAACCGCTGCGGCGTCATCGCCGGACCGGGCCAGTGGGGCCGAGCCGATCAGGGCGTGTACGCCCTGTGGGTCGCCGGCCACTACTTTGGCTTGGGGCTGCGCTACACGGGATTCGGTGGCCGCGGCAAGCAAGTGCGCGACCTCTTGCACCCGGACGATCTCTTCGCCCTGTTAGAGGCGCAAGTGGCCTGTCCAGCCGCTTGGACGGGCGACGTGTTCAACGCCGGCGGTGGCCTCGCCAGCTCGACCTCGCTGGTGGAATACACCCGGCTCTGCCAAGAGGCCACGGGCCGCACCCTCGCCATCGGCTCGATCCCTGAGACCCAGCCGACCGACATCCCCTATTACGTCACGGACAATGCCAAGGCGCAGGCGGCCTTTGGCTGGACCCCGCAAAAGACCGCGCGCGACATCGTCGGCGACATCCACACTTGGCTGGTGGACAACGGCGATCTGGTCCGCCCGATGTTCACTGACCTTACGGTCAGCGAGTGAAACGTTGCACTGACCGCACGGTCAGCGGATAAAACGCCCACCGGAAGGAGACCGTTCCATTGAGCATCGCCCTGATCACCGGCTCGGCGGGTCTCGTTGGCAGCGAGGCGGCCCGCTTCATGCACGAGCGCGGCTTTGACATCGTCGGCGTGGATAACGACATGCGGCAGTACTTTTTCGGCGCGGACGGCTCGACCGCTTGGAACCGCGCCCAGCTCGAAAAGGAATTGCCCAACTACCGACATTGCGATCTCGACATCCGCGACGCGGAAGGCGTGAACGCGCTGTTTGCCGAATGCGGCAAGGCCATCGCGCTGGTAATCCACGCGGCGGCGCAACCCTCGCACGACTGGGCAGCCCGCGAGCCGCTTACGGACTTTGCGATCAATGCCAATGGCACCCTCCACCTGTTGGAGGCCACGCGCCGCTGCTGTCCGGACGCGGTTTTCATCTTCGCCAGCACCAACAAGGTGTACGGCGACGCGCCCAACGAACTGCCCTTGGTGGAATGCGCGACCCGCTATGAACTCGACGCAGCGCACCCCTACCGCGAGTTCGGCATTGACGAGAGCCTGCGCATCGACCAGTGCCAGCATAGCCTCTTCGGCGCATCCAAGCTCGCCGGCGACATCCTGACCCAAGAATACGGCCGCTACTTCGGTCTCAAGACCGCCGTCTTTCGCGGCGGCTGTCTAACCGGCCCGGCCCATTCGGCCGCCGAACTGCACGGCTTTTTGGGCTACCCTAGTCAAATGCGTGGTCACCGGGAAGCCCTACACCATCTTCGGCTACAAAGGCAAACAGGTTCGCGACAACATCCACAGCCGCGACCTCGTCTCAGCCTTCTGGCACTTCTGCCAAAATCCCCGCGCCGGCGAAGTGTACAATATGGGCGGTGGGCACCGCGCCAACGTCTCCGTGCTAGAGGCCATTGAAACCGCGCAGCACCTCGCGGGCCGATCGCTCGACTACGCGCTCGCGGACGAGGCTCGCAGGGGCGATCACATCTGGTGGATCAGCGACGTGCGCAAGTTCCAAGCGCACTATCCCCAATGGGAATGCGAATACGACATCGAGCGGACGATGCGGGAATTGGTGGAGGCCGCGGCGGAGCGCACCAGCGCTTAAGGCGCAAATGGCCTATTGCTTGAGGAAACGCAGTACGTAAGTCGGCACGGGTTGATCGTGCCACACCATCTGAAAGCGGCTCTCGTATTCCTTTATAGCTGGGTACAGGTACTGTCCAGTCTGCGGAAAACCGAGGCTCTCCAGCACGACGTACTCTACCTTTTCGCGCTCCATATGGGCCAGCACTTTTGCCGGCTCGTCAAAGGGGAAGCCGACGCAGCGCCGGCCCGAGACGATGTACATCCAGTAGCCCTTGCGGCACAGCACAATGGCGTCTGCCGGCGCGTTGGCTTTGAGCCATTGACCCGCCTGATAGTAGCGCAGCCAAGGCGGGGGGTAGTCGGCGGCGGCGTAGTCGGCTAGGCGTTTGACGCCGCCGACTTGGCCGATGACGCAGGCGAGGAAGCAGCCCCATACCACTAACTTGCCCACATTGCCTCCAGCCAGTCTATCGCGAATTTGCAAAACAACCCAGACCCCCAACAAGACCAGCACCGGCACAATAGGCACCAGAAAGCGGTCCCCCGGCCAAGGCCAGAGCAACGCGATACCCATGAAGAAGGCTGCGTAGAGCAGGAGCAGCAGGTGTTCGCCGCGCTTAATGCAGAGCACCGTCGCGGCAACGGCAAGCGCGATCAGCAACAAGGGGGCGGGATGAAGGATCGTCCCGGTGCCGTCAAAAAAAGGCACCAAGGTATTGGGCAATTCCCGCGTCAGATAGCGATACGCATGGCCGATAAAGCGCTCGACAAAGCCGCCCAAATCGAGCAGACCCCGCTCTGGGTGGTAGGGATTGACCATGAAGAGCTGCTTGATATAGACGCCGCTGCCGCCCACTACCCTGGTTGCGCAAGGTCCACGGCAGCCAGCAGACAAACGCCGTTCCGCCAAAGAGCAAACACCGCCGGAAATCGCGTCGGAGCAACAGATAGACCACCACAGCCGCCACTAGCGCGATCCCAACTGTGCGGATATAGTACGCCCAAATGGTGCAGGCGAACCCGCCGACGAGCCACCAATTTCCCTTGAGGCCCTCGCGCCCGACGCCTCGTTCGACGAGCCACAGCGCCAAAAGCGAAAAGGTCAAATAGGGCACTTCGGACATGACTTGGTGTGCGTAGTGCAGCAACAGCGGGCCGTAGGCTGCACCGGTCGGTCCATGCGTCAAATAGCTCTTGCCGAGCACAACGCTCAGCGTCACCACCGCTAGGCCGGGCAAGACGCCCATCCGCTCCTTGGCCAATTGGTAGAGCACCCCCATCCCCAGTGCAAAGAGCACCAGCACCCAAACCTTCATCGGCACCCAATCGCCGGGGAAAGCCCACGCCAAAGGAGCCAGCAAAAGGGGAAAGCCAAAAGGGTACTTGGTCGCTGGCTGCGGATCGGGCGAGTTGATGTGCAAAAGCCCCTCGCCTTGGGCCAGACTGCGCGCCAGCGTGATGAATTCGGCGTTGTCGCCGCTCAGGGAAAGTTTGGCGTCAAAGGTCCAGATCCTAGGATAAATGTCGCCGCGACAACAAGGAGGGGAATACCGCACTGCGCCCGAGGCGCTTCCAATAACTCGACTACGCGTGTGCCTAAATCCGCTTTGGGAACCTGAGACTCAGGTTTGTTGGGAGCAGCCTTCCTTTTTTTGCGGGATGCTTTCATGGAAATCTAAAAGAAACGCTCGTCGAGCAGACGGCGTTGTAGGTGCTCACGAGCCGTCTGCTCTGCGCCCAACCTTAGAGGGTATGAGTAGCCCATACAATAAAACGAGAAAACGAGCGCTATAGCGTCTCATCGCTTGCACTCGGGCAAGTTGCAAAATCGCTTTTCAGTACTTCTCATCGACAAAGTGCAACTTGCTCTGCGGCGGGCGCTGGTACTCGCCGTGGGGCGGGCGCGGCGGTAGCTTGACCTTTTGCGGCATTACATCCTTGTAGGGCAGTTGGCTGAGGATGTGCGCAATGCAATTGAGACGCGCCCGACGCTTGTCGTCGGCTTCGACCGTGTACCAAGGCGCTTCGGGAATGTCTGTGTAGAAAAACGCCTCGTCTTTGGCCTTGGAGTACGCGACCCACAGGTTCCGCGACTTGAGGTCTATATCGCTGAGCTTCCAGCGCTTGAGCGGATTCCGGGCGCGCTCCTGAAAGCGGCTTTCTTGCTCTTCCTCACTCACCGAGAGCCAGTACTTGAGCAGGATGATCCCCGAGCGCACTAGCATGCGCTCAAACTCCGGGCACGAGTGGAGAAACTCCCAATACTCCTCCTCGGTGCAAAAACCTAACACCCGCTCGACACCGCTGCGGTTGTACCAACTGCGGTCGAAGACCACGATCTCGCCCGCGGTCGGCAGGTGGGTCACGTAGCGCTGGAAGTACCACTGGGTGCGCTCGCGGTCCGACGGCGTGCCCAAAGCCACCACGCGCGCGCCGCGCGGATTGAGCGGCTCGGTGACGCGCTTGATGACCCCGCCTTTGCCAGCCGTGTCGCGCCCCTCAAAGACAATTACGACCCGCAAGCCCTGATCCTTGATCCAGTGCTGCAACTTGACCAACTCGTGGTGCAACTTGGCCAATTCGCGCTCGTAGTCCTTCTTCTTTCATCTTCGCCGACTTGGCGGCTTTTTTGCTTTGCATACCTAATCTCCATCGCTTGCGGTTCGCTGTTCAAACAAACGTACACAAGGCAGCAGCGCGAGAAAAACCTCGCCCCGCCCCATCTTGCTCGGCTCCAACCAGCCGCATACCTTATCGCGCACACCGCCTAATCGACAAGGACCATTATGAGCCAAGCACCTCGTCCCAACCTGCTTTACATCCACTCCGACCAACACAGCCCCTACGTCGCCGGTTGCTATGGCGATCCCTTAGTCGAGACCCCCCACCTCGATGCCCTCGCCGCGCGCGGTGTGGCGTTCGACAACACCTATTGCCCCTCGCCGATTTGCGTGCCCTCGCGGATGTCCATGCTCTCGGGCCGCTACCCCTGCGACAACCAAGTCTGGACCAATACCCACATCCTCGATTCCGGCATCCCCACCCTCGCCCACTCTATGGGCGCGGGTGGCTACCGCCCCGTGCTCGTCGGCCGCATGCACTCGGTTGGGCCGGATCAGTTGCACGGGTACGCGGAGCGGCTCGTCGGCGACCACGGCCCCAACCAGCCCGGGGGCGCGGGCGTCGATCACGGCCAGCTCGCGGGCACGGCCGGGCCGAGTCGCGTCAGCTTGCGCCTGTCCGGCCACGGCCAGAGCGCCTACCAAGTCCACGACGAAGACGTCACCGCCGCGACTGTTGACTACCTCAATCGCCTCGGCGTCGCCAAGCGCGCCGGCCAAGCCGCTGAGCCATTCTCGCTCTCGGTCGGTTTCATGCTGCCGCACCAGCCTTTTGTCGCCCGCTTGCAAGACTATCGCTACTACTATGAAAACATCACCCCGCCGCAAACCCCTGAACCCTTCGGCGACCACCTGCACCCTCACATCAAGCGCTGGCGCCAAGCCTGCGATATCGAGGAAGTCAGCGAAGAAGAGATCCGCCGCGCCCGCGCCGCCTATTGGGCGCTAGTCCACCGCATGGACGTGCTGATCGGCCAGATCGTGGCCGCACTGCGGGAAAACGACTTGGAGGAAAATACCCTCGTCCTCTATACCTCAGACCACGGCGAGCAAGTCGGCGAGCATGGGCTGTGGTGGAAGCAGACTTTTTACGAGGACTCGGTTAAGGTGCCGGCCATACTCGCTTGGCCTGGACGCTTGCCCGCCGGCACCCGTTGCGACCGGGTGATTTCTTCACTCGACCTCAACGCAACCATGCTCGACGCCTTGGGCTGCCCGGACTTGCCCAACTCGCGGGGCCGCAGCCTCCTGCCCTTGCTCGCAGATCCCAAAAACGCCGAGTGGGACGACGTCGCCTTCTCCGAGTTCTGCCAAGACGCGGCCGGAGCCGGCGGCCCCTTCCCACAAGAGGGCATTTTCCAGCGCATGATTCGGCGCGGGCGGTGGAAGCTCAACTACTACCACGGCCAGCCCTGCCAGCTTTTTGACCTCCAAACTGACCCGCGCGAGCGCTGCGACCTAGCGGCCGACCCAGCGCACCAAGAGATATTGGCCGCGCTCAAAGCCGAAGTCCTAGACGGGTGGGACCCGGAGTGGATCGCCGCGCGCATGACCGCGCTCCGCGCCGACCGGCCCATCCTAGCCGCGTGGGGCCGCACCGTCCAGCCCCCCGACCAATGCCGCTGGAAACTCGATCCGGCCATGGATTACCTCGACCCGGAGCAGCTTGCCACCAGCCAGCGCAATACCAACAAATGACCCAATAGGGCGGCTGGTGCCAAAACCGTCGGCAGCCAGACGTAGGGTGCGTAGGTCACAAACGTGCTAGCCGGCTCGTTGGTGAAGACGCGGAACTCCGTCGGCATGGAGAGGGCCGCGATGACGATTGCCTCGGCCAGTAGCACCAGCCCAAACGCATTCCAAGCCCATATCGCGTAGGATCCCACCTTACCACGCCAGACCAGCCAAGCCATGGCCGGAGCGGTCAAGCCAGCGAAGATGTCAAAGTTGAGCCCATCGTAAGTCATCTGCACCGGTGCCTGCCCAGCTTGGTACATCCCTTGGAGGAACATGGCAGCCGGCACGCGGAAAAACTGGAAGCCAATCAGCCCGACGGGGCCAACCGTAGCCATCAGCGCGGCCCCCGACCCGCGAAAAGGCCGCACCGCCCGTTAGGATCATCAAGCCTGTGAAGAGGGGTAGCGAGAAAGCTCTGCAGCTCGCCCGAGAGCGCGGCCAGCCCGGTCGCCACCAGCCAGAGCATCGCTCCAATGGCCGCCCGCATCGTCCACAGGTCGGCGGCCTGTCCCGCGCGCTGGACCGCGACGCGCACGGCCAGCACCGAGAGCGCCAAAACGCCCAAGACCGCAGCGAAAAAGAGCGCGTCAACGCGGAGGGGAACCTTGTCGAGCGCCAGTTCCATGTCGCCTCCTTATTCTTCGGCCTTTTCGCGTGCTTTCACCTCGTCCCAGATCTCGTCTAGGGCTGCCAGTGAGAGCGCGGATACTTCCTCGCTCCGCGCATGCACGGCTTCCTCTAGGGCGCGGAAGCGGCGCTCGAACTTGGCAACGGCACGCCTGAGTGCCTGTTCGGGCTCTACGTTGAGGAAGCGGCTGGCGTTGACCAACGAGAAGAGCAGGTCGCCAAACTCCTCCTCGACCGCCGCGGCCCCACCCGTCTCCCAAGCTTTGCGCACTTCGGCGAATTCCTCTTCGATCTTGTCGAGTGCGCCATCAATGCCGTCCCAATCAAATCCCTGCCGTGCGACTCGCGCTTGGATCTGATGGGCGCGCATTAGGGCAGGGAGATGCTTGGGAATGCCCTCCAACGACGAGGGCGCGGCTTCCCCTTGCTCCTGGCGCTCCTGCTTTTTGATCTGCTCCCAGCGGCGCAAGACCTCGTCGGCTCCGTCCGCACGCGCATCGTCAAAAACATGGGGATGGCGGCGAATCAGCTTATCGACGATGGCTTGGCCGACCGCCTCGATGTCGAAGCGGCCCTCCTCGGCCGCGATCTGGGCGTGGAACACCACTTGCAGCAACACATCGCCCAACTCCTTGCATAGCTCGGCGTCGTCTTCCGCGTCAATGGCTTCGAGGGCCTCGTACGTCTCCTCCAACAGGTAGGGCTTGAGCGTGGCATGCGTCTGCTGGCGGTCCCAGGGGCAGCCGTCGGCACCGCGCAGACGCGCCATGATAGCAACTAATTCTGCGAACGTGGAATCGCTTTTCATCGTTTCTCGCTTCTTGATTTTATATTGAGGAAAATAATAATAAGGAACCGCCCGCCACAGGCCTAAAGACCGTGCGGCGCAGGGGCTGCAATCCATTTGTTAAAAATTTATAACATATTATTTTATATAATCTTATGTATTTTCTCGTTTTCGACTGTAACCAAATTGGAACAAACCCTTGACGAGCCGTTACGCCTCTTTATATTGAATGGGAGGCGGTGATTAGGGCCATCTGTACAACTCCCCCGAGTACAGTGTTGGCGGCTCCCTTTTTCTGTGGGAGCGGTCAGTTGGCCCGCTCGATTTGTTGCTCATTAACATAGCACGGAGTTGCGCTTGGGCGCGCTCCGATCTAGCTAGTTGAGCCTTTTGCAGGCTTTCACGGGGCAAAATATCGACATGGGCAAAATCATCGCTATCGCCAACCAAAAAGGCGGGGTGGGCAAGACCACTACGGCCGTCAATCTCGCCGCCTGTCTGGCCCTTTCCGGGCACCGAACCTTACTCATTGACCTAGACCCGCAGGCCAACGCCACTAGTGGCTGCAACGCCGAACTCGGCAGCGACTACGCCTCTATCTACGAGGTTTTGATAGGCCGGCTCAGCACCTCCTCGGCGACCTTCCCTACCTATATAAAGGACCTCTTCGTAGTGCCCGGGCACATTCGCCTCGCGGGTGCCGAAGTGGAGATGGCCGCCATGGTCGGGACGCGACAAGCGGTTGGCCGGAGCCCTGCGCCCGGTAAAGGGGCAGTACGAATTTATCCTCATCGATTGCCCGCCGTCTTTGGGCTTGCTCACGATCAACGCGCTGAGCGCAGCCGATTCCGTGCTCATCCCGGTGCAGTGCGAGTACTACGCCTTAGAAGGCGTGAGCAATCTCAGCGATTCCATCCGCGTGGTGCGGCGCTATCTCAACCCCACTCTCGAAATCGAGGGCGTTTTACTCACCCTGTACGACGATCGCTTGCAGCTTTGTCGCCGCGTGGCCCAAGAAGTACGCAACCACTTCGGCGACAAGGTCTATCAGACGATCATCAGCCGCAACATCAGCTTGGCCGAGGCCCCGGGTTTTAGCCAGCCCGTCGTGCTCTACGACGCAGAATCGAGAGGCTCCAGCAACTACAACAGCTTGGTTTCCGAAATCTGCGCCGATAGGCCTTCTGTCTTGCCTGATCCCCCCCTTCTGTATTTTCTGTAGCGATTGTTCTTGACAATCGTTTGCATTCGCATATTATATTCATTTTCGCATTAAATATCCGAACAAGGAAGGGAGGCTGTCTGTGTCTTCTCGTACGAACTCGGATCCGGCTACGCGAGTGGGTGCGTCCTCCCCCCGCTGTGCTGACCATCCCGAATTCATCACCCAAAACGCCCAAGTCCGCCGCCTCTTGGCCCAAGCCGACCGGGTCGCCGAATCCCCGGCGACCGTGCTCCTCACCGGAGAAAGCGGCACGGGCAAAGAAGTGCTGGCGAGCGCTTGCACGAGCGCAGCCCAAGGCGCAGAGCCTCATTTGTGCATCTCAATTGCGCCTCACTGCCCGAAGGCGTGTTGGAAAGCGAGCTGTTCGGGCATGAGAAAGGAGCCTTTACCGGCGCGATCCGCCAGCGCTTAGGCCGCTTTGAGCTAGCCAATCGCGGCACCTTGTTTCTCGACGAGATTGGCGCGGCAGATATGCGCGTGCAATTGCGCCTATTGCGCGTCCTGCAAGAGCGCGAGTTCGAGCGCGTCGGGGGCGCGGAGACCTTGCGGGTGGATGTGCGGGTCATCGCCGCTACCAACGTCAATTTGCGGGAGGCGGTCCGCAAGGGAACCTTCCGCGAAGACCTCTTTTACCGACTCAACGTCGTGCCGCTCAAGCTACCGCCGCTGCGCCAGCGCCAGGGAGATATTCCGCTGTTGATCGAACACTTTATCCGCCGATTAGCAGCGCAACACGGGTGCAAAATTCGCGGCCTCGACACCGCGGCCTTAAATCACCTCTTGGCCTATCCATGGCCGGGCAATGTGCGGCAATTGGAAAACGCGCTCGAGCGCATGGTCCTCCTCGCGAACGACAACTTGTTGCGGGAAGAGGACGTGCCCGAAGAGATCGTCCACTGGCAAGACGAAGAAGAATCCGACCTGCTCCCACGCGATTTTAAGGAAGCGCGGAACTCATTTGAGCGGCACTTTCTCTGCGAGGCTCTGCACCGGCATCGCGGGGTGATTTCGCAAGTAGCCGAAGAAGTAGGGCTGTCCCGCAAGAGCCTGTACGCCAAGCTAGAAAACCTCGATATCGACTACCAACACTACCGCACCTGACGACTCACAGGTGCGCGGCGAGCGCACGGCGGAATTTCGCCATCTGGCCTTTGAGATAGGCCCGGTGCTCGCCGTCGGTCGGCTCGAGCGCGAGGGCTTGGCGCATAATGGCCACCGCGTGAGCATGCCGCCCCAACAGGTGCAGCAATTCCGCATAGGTGTCCAAATAGACCGGGCTTTCCGCCTCGAGCTTGACCGCGCGCATCGACAGATTCAGCGCATAGCTAAGGCGCAGGCCCTCTTCTGCGTAAGTCCAAGCTAGGTTGTTGAGGATTAGAGGATCGTCTGGAGCACCGGCCAAGGCACGCTCGTAGTATTCAATGGCGTGGTCGGGCCGCTCGCGCTCGTAGTAGATGCGGGCTATGTCAACTGCACTGACGACCTCGGCTTTCAGCGCCCGGTCAAAAGTATGGGCGGCCCGTTCAGCCAGCCCCTGGCGGAGCTGGCAGTCTCCCAGGGTGAGAGCGAGTTGCGGGTCATTGGGTTGAATGCGCACGGCCTCGGCGAGCGCGATTTCGGCCTCGGCGAGTCGCCCCTCGGCGATCAAGAGGCGGCTGAGTTCAATGTGGGCGAAGAGATGGTGCTCGTCGAGTTGGATGGCCTGGCGCAGCGCTTCTACGGCGGCGGCGGGCCGCTCCTGACGGGCGTGGAGCCAGCCCTCGGTCGCCCACAGCGACGCGCTCTGCCCATAGTCTGCGCGCAAGTGCGCGAGGAGTTCTTCGGTTTGGGCGAAACGCTCTTCTCTTTGGCAAATGTCGCGCAGGGCTCTGTACAGATCGTCGTTGTCCGGTGCCAAGGCAATGGCTTGGCCGAGCAGCTCCAGCGCGGTATCCACTTCGCCCAGGCTCAACCGGGCGAGGGCGGCGATGAGGAACAAGCGGTCGTCCGGCCCGTCTTGGCGGATGGCTCGGCGGGTTTCGACCAAGGCTTGGTCGTAGAGGCCGTCGCGCAAATAGACCTGCGCTAGCTGGGCGTGCTCGGCTCGATGGGTGCCACATTGCGGGTTGCTAATGACGAACGCGCCGAGCAGGGCGCAGCAAACGGCCTGTCTAGCGACGCGCATTCATAACTCGTGGCGGTAGGTGGCGATGTGGAGGAGCAAGCCGATGGCGAGGAGGTTAGACAGCAGCGAGGAGCCTCCCGAGCTGAGAAAGGGCAGCGGCAGGCCGGTGATGGGCATGACACCGATGGTCATGCCGATATTGATAAACACGTGGAAGGTCAGCATCGCGGCCAAGCCGACAGCCGTCAGGCTGTAAAAGACATTGTTGGCCGTAGATGCGATGTGCAGCGCCCGATAGATGAGAAAAAAGAACAAGCTCAGCACGATCAGGGCCACAACAAACCCTCCCTCCTCCCCAATGACCGAGAAGATGAAATCAGTATGAGCCGCCGGCAGGAACTCGTGCTTGGTCTGCGTGCCTTCCAGAAGGCCTTTGCCCGTCAATCCGCCGGAGCCGATGGCGATCTTGGACTGGATGATATTCCACCCGGATCCGAGGGGATCGCTCTCCGGATTGAAGAAGGTCATAATGCGAGCCTTCTGGTATGGATGCAGGAAGTGCTCCAAAAAGTACACCGTAAGCAAACCCGCCAAGGTATTGATGAAAGCCATGGAGATGGTCAACCAGAGCCGGCGCAGAAAATGGTGAACTATGAAGGTGCTGCCGATGACGAAAGCGGCGAAGACGTACGGAGTACCCCCTTGCCACAGTAGATCCAAAGAGCAGATGACGCTGATGAGCGGCGAGATGACGAGAAAGACAAAGAACTTGCGCATCCCTGCCCAATAGAGCATGGGAAAGAGCGGTGCACCAAAGGAAACCGCGGTCCCCAAGTCGGGCTGGCGCACAATCAGGGCGGTCGGCACCAATATGAGAAATAAGGCCCCGAAAAAGCCGTCAAAGGAATTGATGCGTTCTAGGTTGCGGTCGCTTAGGTAGCGCGCTAAGGCGATGATGGTCGCGATCTTGGCCAACTCCGAAGGCTGCAACATCAACGGCCCTAAGCGCAACCAGCGGGTGGCGTCGCCCGTGCCCCAAGCCAACACCGCGACTAGACTCACAATGCCGAACAGGTATAGCAGATACGCAACGCTGTAAATGACCTTTTCCGGGATATAAACGATGGCTAAGGCCACGACAAAGGCCACGGCTGCGAATAGGACCTGCTTACTCCAAGCGTTCTGCACCGCGGTGGAGTCGTTGTGGTACGTAGCGCTATAGATCGCGATGATCCCGATCAGTACGATCGCCAAAGCCGCAATGAGGAGCGGGAAGTCGAGTTGACGGAGCAGGCGCATGAGCTAAAGCATTCCGTGGTTAGCTACGAGCGTATCAGGCTCGGCTACTTCTGGCTCAATGATGCCCTCTTGGATGCAGAAGGCTTTGATGACCTCGCGCACAACTGGGCCAACTCGCGCCCCACCGCTGCCGCCCCCTTCGACCACGGCCGCTATGACAATGGTGGGGTTTTCGTACGGAGCAAAGGCCACCATCCAAGCGTCGTCGTTGCGGCTGGGCACTTGAGCAGTGCCGGTCTTGGCCGCGATTGCGACGCCGTCAACCCGCGCTCGGCGGCCGGTGCCGGTATCGCTGGCCACCACTCGCAGCATGGACTTTCTCACGATGCGAAAGGTCCTAGACGAAATGCCGTCAATGCGCTGGCGCGGAGGGGGGTCGCCGCTGATGTAGGGAGTGACCAGATAGCCGCCGTTGGCAATGGCGGCCACGTAGCGGGCCATCTGAATGGGCGTGACCAGTACGGCACCTTGACCAATGGAGAGGTTGAGTAGCTGGCCCAAAGACCAGCCTTCGCGCTTTCTGTAGTACTCACGCGAAGGCAAAAGGCCGGCGGCCTCTCCGGGATGGACGATCCCAGTCGGCTGGCCGAAGCCCAATTTGGCCGCGTACTGGTGCCACGTTTCAATGCTCATCAACCGGGCCAAATGGTAGAAGTAGACGTTGCAGGAGGCCTCGATCGCCCCTGGGAGGGTCAGGCCACCGTGGCCTGTCCGCTTGTGGCAGCGGAACCTGCTCCTGCCCACGGCCAGCGAACCATAGCAGGGCTCAAACAGGCTCCGCGTATCGGTGACGCCCGTCTCGAGCGCGGCTATGGCACTGACTATCTTGAGCGTCGAGCCAGGTGGATAACGCCCGTGTAAGGCGCGGTTGAGTAGCACGGTCTTGCTCTGCAAAACCCGCCGCCGCTCCTTTTGAGCCTGAAACGACACGAAAATGTTGGGGTCAAAGGTCGGCTTGTTGGCCAAGGCCAGCACAGCTCCAGTGCGTGGGTCGAGCGCGACCAGCGCACTGGCCAAACTATCGGGCAGGGCGCGTTCGGCCGCCTGTTGCACTTCCAAGTCAATGGTCAGGTGCAAGGGCTCGCCGGGCACGGGGAGCCGGTCGCGTTCGGGAAATTCCCGGCCCGTACGCCCAGTCGCGTCAATCTCGACGTACAACATGCCGTCGCGGCCGCGCAGGCTGTTTTCGTACACCTTCTCGATCCCGGTCTTGCCGATAAAGTCGCCGAGCACATAGGCGTTGTCGTTTTTGCCCTGTAGATCTTGGTCCTGGATGATGCCGATATAGCCGAGCAAGTGGGCGGCTACCGTGCCATAGGGATAGTGGCGCTGGGTCTCGATTTCAATGTCGAGCAGGGGCCAATCGGCCTTGAGCCGTTCCTCTACGATCGATACCGTGCGGAAGTCAACATCGCGCTTGAGCCGGATGGTGCGGTATTTGCGGCTGTACTTGCCGTCTAGTTCTAAGTCGCCAATGGCCTCTGTAAACGCCGCAGTAGCCGCGTCGAAATCCTTTTGCGAGGTGCGTTCCAATGAGACGGTGTTGTAAAAACGGCCGGGTGCGAGCCAAGATGCGGCCATCGCGATCGTAGATCAGCCCGCGCGGGGCCTGACGCGCCGCTGGGCAATGCGGTTTTCCTCGGATTCGCGGCGTAGTCGGCCGGAGGTGACAACCTGCAAATAGAACAAACGCAAGAGCAAAACCGCGAACAGCAAGACGACGATCGCTAGGAGGCCTTGAAGGGTGGGCGCGGATCTTGTAGTAGCTGGTGTTGCATGATCAAGCGGGGAAGAGATAGCGCTTAACGGCCACGCCAGCGAGAAAACCGCGCTGGCTAAGCCTGTGTACGCGGCGCGGCCAAGAGGACGCTCAGTTCAAGGGGCACATCGAGCCCGGTGCCCACATAGTAGATGAGATCATGGCAGATCACGGCACCAAAGACCAACGCGGCCTGGACTTGGATGCTGTCGGCGACCATGTGGGCATGGCTGTAGCCGAAACCCGCGCCGATGAGCGCCTTGGCGAGCGCATTGGCCCCGAGAGCGGCGGGCAGGTATATATCCTGAAGGATGCCGACTCCCAGCCCCATGTAGGCCCCAACAACCGACCCGCTGCGCAGCGCGATGAAGCTCAACGCCACGATCAATAGATCGGGTTTGATCAACCCCACCTTGATGGAATCGACCCACGTGGTTTGCAGGACGAAGGCCAGTGCCAGCAAGAGGATATAGCGGACTACACTCATGTCACCTCGGGATTTGCAAGGTCATGCCCGCCAGCAGCGTCTCTGAGAGGCCGATGTTGTTCTGGCGGGCAATATCGCTGGAAGCAAGGCCGAATTTGCGGGCGATGCTGTGCAGCGTATCGCCCGAGACCACGGTGTACACCTGCGCTCGCTTGTTTGATCACAGTTAGCTGTTGACCGGGTTTGATCAGCTCCTTTTCGAGACCGTTCCACGCCTGCAAATCAGCGACGTTAACCGCAAATCGCCGGGCCAACTCCCACAGTGTATCGCCCGGCTGCACCGTGTAGATCTCACCGCCGTTCGACACCTTTTGGGGACTCGACTGCCGTTGCAGCACCAATTCTTGACCGGGTTTGATCAGCGTGGTTTTGAGGCCGTTCCATTTCATCAGATCGCGTAGGAGCACCCCGTGTTGGGAGGCGATGCGGCTGAGTGAATCGTTTGGCCGCACGACATAGGTCTCTTGGCTGCCACGCGCTGGCTTGGCCTTCGGGGCGGCCGGGGTCGGGATATAGAGAATCTGCCGCGGCCGGATGAAGTTGGGGTTTCTCAGGCTATTGGCCGCGGCAATGACCCGCGTGGAGACGCCAAAGGTCTGGGCGATGCCAGAGATCGTATCGCCGCGCTGCACCTGGTACTGATGGATCGCAGACTTCTGCGGGGGACCGGCAGGCTGGCGTACTGGTCGAGCAAGAGCTGGCCCTTGCCCCGTGGTACCCTCAAAACATAAGACAGACGAGACCCCGGCGGCGTGATGTCTTGGCGCAGCTCGGGGTTGAGGTCGTGCAATACCTGGCGTTCGATGTCCAAGAGCTGGGCCGCCGCTTTCAGATCGACATACTGCCAGTCTTTGGGCAGGGCGACTTCCTCGTATGCAAAGGGTGGCTCTTCGGCTTGGGGTTTAAAACCAAAAAGTTGTGGATCCTTGGCTATGACGGCCGCGGCCATAAAGAGCGGCACGTAGTTTTTCGTTTCGCGGGGCAGGTCGAGTTGCCAGTAGTCGTTGGTATCGGCGCGCGCGATGGCCCGGCGGACTCGTCCTGGCCCGGCGTTGTACGCGGCCAAGGCCAAGCGCCAGTCGCCAAACTCTGCGAAAAGGTCTTTTAGGTACCGGGCAGCAGCAACGGTCGCCTTGACCGGGTCGCGCCGCTCGTCGACCCAGTGGGTGCGCTTGAGACCCATCATGCGGCCGGTGTGCGCCATAAACTGCCACAACCCCACGGCTCGCGACCGCGAATAGGCCCTTGGGTTGAGGCCGCTCTCGATAACCGCTAGGTAAAAAAGATCGCTGGGCATCCCCTCGCGCTGGAGGATATCGCCAATCAGCGTGCGGTAGCGCCCGGCGCGCTGTAACCAAGTGGTAAAGGTCTTGCGACCCCGCGTCTGGAAGAAGTGGAGGCTAGCCACGACGCGGTCGTTGGCGTCAATTGGCATGTCGCAGCGGCGGCCGAGCCGATGGATGCGGACCAACGGCTCGGCATCTGCCGGCAGGGTCTCGATTTTTTCCTCGAATAGCCCTTCGAGCAGCAGGTTCAAGCGGCTGTCGGCGGGAAAGCGCTCCAAGTGCGGCAACAGGTCGAGGTATGCCCGCTCAATAGCCAAGCCGAGCGTTGCAGCCTGCGCGGTATCCACGAGCGCGTCGTGCTCGTCGAGGTCGGCGAGAATGTCAAAGGCCGCGTCGAGGGCCTCTTGCGCCCGTTGGGTCTGCCCGAGCGCGTGGCTTTCGAGGGCGAGGAGCAAGTGCCAGCGAACGGCGCGTAGAGCGGCCGTATCCGGCGGCGGGTCCACAGACAGGTCCGCAGGCATGACAGGGGCAGCCGCGTCGAAGACCAAAGGTCCGGTGCTTTTTGCCATGGGCACAGGCCATGAGCAGCAATGCGATGACGCCGCAATACAAGCGCATGGCGCGTCAGTCCTCCTCCGAGACGTGGATCTGGGAGCGGACCTTGATGGCGTTGGGGTAGTACTTCCCGATTCGTTCGGCCGCGGCCTGGGCTTGGGCCTCGGTGCGGTAGTTGCCGACTTCGATCTTGTAATAAGGCCCCCTGAGGGTCACGGTGATGTCTTCGCGCTTCAGGCGCTTTTTTGCTTCTTCCGCCAGCCGGCTGGCCTTGTCGTGGGAGTGGGATAGGAACTGATCGATCAACACCTTCCAGCCAATGGTACTCACTGGCTCAAGCGCAGGCTCGGCCGGCGCGGAATCGGGCACCGTACTCACCGGGACCTCGACGACATAGGCGTCGGCGTAACCCGGGCCGAGCGCGGCGACCTGCTCCTTGAGCGCGGCAGCCTCGGCGCGGGTGGCGTACTGGCCAGCTTGTAGCACCGAGTGCTCGTTGCGGGCCACTAGATAGACCCTCACGCCGAGCGCGCGTTCTAGTTCGGCGCGGCGCTGGCGGGCCATGGCCTCATTGCTCAGGGCCACTAGCTGGAGGCGATAGACCGCAGCGCTCGCTACCGGAGCGCGGTCTTGCACGGGGGCCGCCGGCTCCGCTGGGGTTTGGGTCTGGGCGCGGCTCTCGCGTTGAACCGGCTCAATTAGCAACGGGTCTTCGTCGAGGGTGCGCGGATCAAATTCTTCGCGGCTGACGGGCACGGCGTCGCCCGAGTCACTGCGCCAACGCGGCGCACTCGCACAGTGGGCCCGTGGCCAGCAGGGCCACCAGCAATAACGGGATCGGATAGCTTCTCATAACTCAACCCAAGCTCGCAGGGTGGGTTCGTACGGAGCACGGGCGACGCCCTTTTCCGAAATGATCGCCGACACCAAGTCGCAGGGCGTGACGTCAAAAGCCGGATTGTAAACCGGCACCGCATCCGGGGCTGTGGGCTTGCCCATGCCGTTGCGGATCTCGGCTGCGTCGCGCTTTTCAATGGGGATTTCCGCACCCGAGGCCAAGGCCATGTCGAGGGTCGAGACCGGGGCGGCCACGTAGAAGGGCACGCCGTGCTCGCGAGCGAGGATAGCCAGTCCGTAGGTGCCAATCTTGTTGGCCACATCGCCGTTTTTGGCGATGCGGTCAGCACCCACTATGCAGCAGTCAATCGCCTCATTCCGCAGCACGACCGCGGCCGCATTGTCGCAGATGACCTTGACGTCGATGCCGCTCTGCATCAGCTCCCACGCCGTCAGCCGCGAACCTTGGAGCAAGGGGCGGGTTTCATCGGCAAATACGGCGACTTTCTTGCCCGCCTCTTGGGCTGCATAGACGACCCCTAAGGCCGTGCCGTAGTCGGCCGTGGCCAAGCCGCCGGCGTTGCAGTGGGTGATGACTTGGCTGCCATCGCGCAGGAGTACCGCGCCGTGGGCACCGATCTGGCGACAGATTTGGCGGTCTTCCTCAAAGAGACGGTGCGCAGCCTCTAGCAGGGCGTCGCAGATGGCGTGGTTGTCGCGGCCTCGATTCGCGGCCAACACCTCCTGCATCTGATCCAAGGCCCAGAACAGGTTGACCGCGGTGGGCCGGGTGCGGGCGAGGCGGGCGATAGCGTCTTCCACACGGCGGCAAAAGGCCTCGGGGGCGCAATTGACCGCTGCGCGTGCGCCCACCACGACGCCGTACGCAGCCGCCAAGCCAATGGCTGGCGCACCGCGCACCACCAGCCCTTCAATGGCGCGGGCGAGCTCCTCGACGTGGCGATAGGTCGCGTACACCAGCTCCTCGGGTAAGCGAGTCTGGTCGAGCAGGATCAGCGCATCGTCCCGCCATCTGAGCGTTTGCGTCGGCATTAGAAGGTCGAAAATTCAAAGGGCGTTTCCGCAGCTTCCTCGGGCGCGTCCCCATCGGCAAAATCCGTGCGCTCGGCATCGCCCCATAACCTCTCTAGGGCGTAGAAGTCGCGCGCCTCCTCGCGAAAGATGTGGACGACGAAATGGACGTAATCCATTAGCACCCAGCGCCGCGTATCCGCCCCTCAATGTGCCAAGGCTTTTCGCCGATCTCGGCGAGTTGGTCCCGCACTTCGTCGGTGAGGCTGCGGACGTGCTGTTCAGAGGTGCCCGTACAGAGCAAAAAGTAGTCGCAGGTGTCGGTGACGTCGCGCAAATCCAGCAAGGTTATTGCGAAGGCTTTTTTATCTTGTAAAATTTCTACGATGCGGGCAATGCGCGGCTCTTGACACAGGCTCATGGACGTTTTCTCGTGGTTACTTAGCCGGATCGAGTAGGCCGATGCGGCGGTAGTCGCGCCCGATGACAATCGAGACGCTCGCCAGACTGAACTGGCTTTCCTGCTGCTGCTGAATAAAATGAGGTATTCCCAAGATGTCCGCCACTTGTCGAGCTTGCTCAATATCGCCGTCCAAATCGACGACGAGGGTGTACAAGTGATTAAAGCTGGGCGCATTGCCTTCGTGAATTACGTCTAACCCGAGGGCGCGTGCCTTTTTGCGCAGGCGGGCGGCGACTTGCGCTTCGCCTCCGCCGTTGAGAATTTCGACCCGAATAGGGCTACGCTGGGGAGTGGTTTCCGGCTTGGGGACTTCCTGTTGGGGCGTTGGCTCGGGTGCAGCAGTGTGCGGCCAGAAGGACGCCTTGAGGAGAAGGGCTATGGCCACAGCGGCCAGCCCCCACAAAATCAGCTCCTGCACGTTGGGGTATTCTCGGTCCATCGCTCCAACGTACTTAATGAATAAAAAACGGCAAGTTGCGTCAAGCAAACAAAGGAGGAAATGTGGATTTCCTGCGCGAAGAAACCTTTGCCCATTGCTTCTCCACGGCTGATTTTCTCGCCGCCTGTCACCAAGCGTTCGAGCGGTACGGCGCGGGGGTCATCGACAATCCGCCGCGCACCGAATCCATCCAAAAGCGCGGGGCACTCGACTACTTTCGCTTGGACATGCCAGCCGAATGGCCGGGAAAGTTTCGCGCGCGAAAGATCATCGAAGAATTTTCAGACGTGGCGAGCGGGCGGCTGGCCAAGCGGGAGGCATATATCGCCTTCGAAGATTTGCAACAGGGCCGGGCGTGGCGGCTGGAGGCCGGGCACATCACCGACTGGCGCACCGGTGCGGCCGGGGCGCTGGGTCTCCAATACCTAGCGGGCGCGGCCATCGAGCGAGTCGCCATTTTGGGGACCGGGCGGATTGCGCGGACCTTGGCCCTATCCTGCGACGCGCTCTTTGATTTGGCGGAGATTGCCTGCACGAGCCGCCGGGCAGCAAACCGGGCGGCATTTGCCGCAGCGGTCGGACCAGACCTGCGAGCGCGCCTACGGGTAGCAGCGTCGCTAGAGGCGTGTATAGCCGGTGCCGACGCCGTGCTGACGGCGGTGCCGACGCCGCAGCCCATCTTGACCTCGGCGGCCTTGGCTGAGGTCCCCTACCTCGCGGTCATCGCCGGGGATAGTCGCACGCGCCAAGCTCGCGACCGGAGGTGCTCTACGAGCGCACGGTGGTCGTCGATGTGCTCGCCCAAGCCCAGAAGTCCGGGGAATTCCGCTTTGCGGCCGAGCAGGGCCAAGCCGAGCAGATCGCCTTGGCGCGGAATGCCGAGGGCACGGTACTGGACATCGGCGACGCCGCCTGCGGGCGGCTTGGCGTGGCCGCGCCAAGTGTGGTCTATCTGACGGGGATGGGAGCGCAGGACTTGTGTGCGGCAGCCATGGTGTACCGCCGCCTGCTCACTTGAACAACCCCGAGTACTTAAAGGTCATAATGTAGTCCTGCGAGCCTTTCTCCTTGACTCGGGGTCGGCTGTCGTAAATGTCCCAGCCGAAGCCAAAGAGGAACTGATCCTTGTAAAAGGAAATGGCCACACCCAGAGAAATGGCCAGCGAGTTGCCGGTCGAAAGGGCTTCGAGGACATTGCCGATGGCGGTGAAATGGATACCGGAAATCACGGGTTATCCACGTTGTGCCAGCCGGCAAAGGCCAATCCGGGCAAGCCAATCAAGCGCTCGGTGTTGCCTTGGACCGGGTTGCCGTCGGCGTCTTTATAATTGCGCCCGGGACGAATCGTCAAAAAGGAAACCAGCGGCTTGGCCTCAAATTCCCACTTCCAGCCCCCGGCTTCCAAAAGCTGCGACACGCTCTGCGGCGGAGCGCCCGGATAGCTATGGGTAGTAATTTGAGCCGCACTCGGCGATTGTCTTCTTCCGACAGCTGCAAGTTGAGATCCTCAGCTAGGACGCGCCCGCCGCTCGACTCGTAGATCGTGACCTTCTTCTTTTGGGTACTGCCTTTGGGGGCGTAGTTTTCGTCGAGCCGGGTCCACTCGACGACCAGCTCGCGACCGATTAGCGCCCGCCGCAGCGAGTCGGGAATCGCAAAGGCCACATCCACTTTGGTGCCGTCTTTTTGCACGATGGGGGCATTGTCCCAGCCGACAGCCAAAGGCTGGGTCTTCTCCCCGCGCGAGACCAATACCTCGACAATCTGCGCCAAGTCGATGTCTGCGAGCACCCCGTGTCCTTTGTATTCGAGTGGACGGGCGCGATCCTTGACGTCGTTGCTGACCAACAAGACGCGCCCGCGGCGCTCGCCCAAGGCATCGGGCGCAAAAAAGAGCGTGAGGCGCGCGGACTCGCCCGGGGCCAGCGCAAATTGCGCCGGCTCAACGTGGGCCTCTTTGCTTTGGGGATGCGCCTCGACTTGCAGCACGGTATCGCCAACGTTGGTGGCCACAAAGGTCCTTTCCGTCTGCTCCCCCAAGACCACGTAGCCAAAATCGACGACGCCCGCCGGATTCAGCTCGATTTCGGCGGCCACGCCGTTGCCCTTGAGCAGGATGTCGAGCGTCATCATCTCATTCGCGCCCAAGCCGTCCAAGCGCAAGGTCCCCGAAATCGCCCCGCGAGCCGATGGGCTAAAAGCCACGTGCAGCGGCAGGGTGCGCTGGCTGTGGGCCGGTAGCAGGAACTTGCTGTCGGCGTCGATTGGGGTGTGGGCGAGTAAATTCGGTGCTCGTCGAGCGAAGCTGGTGAATCTCAAAGTCGGCGTTGCCCGCATTGGCTATTTCAACGACTTGGCTGCTGCTTTCGCCGACGGCGACTCGACCGAAGTCCACCGTTGCCGGGTGAGGGCGAAAAACTGGCCTACGCCCTGCAAGCGCACGGTTTGGCGCTCGGCTTCGGCCTCGATGTGGAGGACGGCTTGGCGCGGACCGGATTCCTTGGGCGAGAAACTCAGCCCCACGGGGTGCTGGCTTGCGGCTGAACGAGGACCGAGTGCTGTTCGAGATCGAATTCAACGCCCTCGTCCGCGGCCACGGCGATCTCCGCCACGCCCGGCTGGCCGCCCTTGTTCCACAACAGCAAATGCTCGCGTGCAGTCTCGCCGATGGGTACGCTGCCGAAGTCAATGTCGCCATTGATAAGCTCGATGCGCGGCGGACTGATTTGGCCGCGACCCGCGAGGGGAATGGCCACCTCGGCAGCTTGTAGATCGCTGGTGTACAGGCGCAAGACGCCACTTTGGTCGCCTTCGCTCTGCGGCACAAACGCCGCGCTCAGGTCGAGCCGCCCTTGGGGAGCAATGGTCGCCGACGAGTCCATAGCCCCGAGGGCAAAGGCTGCGCCCTCAATGGCGACGTTTTCAATGTGCAGCTCGGCTTGGCCTTGATTGAGGACGGTCACGCGGCGCGTTAGGCGCTGACCCACTTCGACGGTGCCAAAGTCGAGGCCCACTTGCGGGAGGGGCGAAAAGGCCGCTTGCGGAACCAGCCCGTTCCCCCGCAGGGGAATAGACCAATTCCCAAAGTTGGGCGCAGAGACCACGAATTCAGCAGCGACCGGCCCCGCGCGCGTCGGCGCGAACGCAACGTCGATCCGCGTTTCACCGCCGGGAGCAGGCCAAAGGCCGGCGTCGCCCGCAACGCTAAAGGGGGCCTGTGGTTCGGCAACGGCCATCCGACCGACCGCCACGGGCACAGTGCCGGTGTTTTTGACGATAACGGCTGCCGTCGCCACTTGCCCGACGGGCACCGCGCCAAAATCCAGCCCTTCGGCCGGCAAAAGTGCTAGGGTCGGAACGACGGCCACCGCTTGGAGCGGCACGACCAAGCGCTGGCCTTTGAACAAGGCGGCTACCTGCAACGTCAGTTCGCCCGCATACTCCCCAGCCGCTGCGGCGCTGAAGCGCACTTCGACGCTGCTGACGCTCTTGCCGTCCAAGCGCAGCGTATCTGATAACGCGCTAAAGCCGTCGCCGCTAATGCCGACGATTACTTCGAGCGCGTCGTCTTGCAGATTTTCGACGGAAACGGACGCTCGCGCCTCCACGCCGACGCCGACTACACCTAAGTCGAGGGCATTCGGGGACAACAGCGAGGGATTGGGCGAGCAGGACCGCTGGCAGGAGCAAGAGGGCGAGCAGAAGAAAAAAAGAAGAGCGACCAACCGGCCAGAATACCGAATACAATATTTGTCGAAGTTCCACATCGTAGAGGAGTGGAAAACTTCCCCTGAGGTATTCTTTGCGCCGATTCAGGTCGCTCTCTGTTAGCCGAAACATACGTTTCAATAACCCATCATGTCAAGCGGAGAGGATCTGCTCCAAGCCTCCGACGAGTCGATCCATACCCTCGGCCACATCCTCTTGGCGCAGGGCACCATAAGCAACGCGCAAATAGCAGTCCGCGCTCAATCCGAAGGCATTGCCAGGGATGACCGCGACCTTGTGTTCCCGCACCAAGTGGGCGACTACATCCATGGCGTCGCGATCGCTTTGCAGACGCGCTAACAAATAAAAAGCACCTTCAGCAGCCGGCACTTGCACCCACGCGCCGAGCAC